CACGCGCGCGTTATTTTGAACAGCCAAGCTTACGCATATGTACTTTGTGCATTTTACATATCTTACTTTTTGTTGCGCATACGCGCCTTAGGTAGCAGAAGAGCTTGCTATCCTTTTTCTGCGCGTATTTGCTAACCTTGTGCTTTGTGCAGTTTGCGTAGAGGACGCCCGCGCGTTAACATCCTTGTCGTGGGAGGCTGGACTGAAGTCCATTTTTTTAACATCTTTAGCCTGCGCGATTTTGTTTTTTATTGCCATCTATAAGTATCAGGTCCCCGATCGCGCATGGGAGGAAGCGCTCGCGCGCCTCGGTAACATCATTTCAGACGTGAGCGCAGGATTTTGGGACCTTCCAGGGTAGGTAGTGCGTCAACACCACCATGGATGCAGATTGTTTCGGTATGTACGGTCCGATTTTGTTTGATTTTGACCTCGTGAATAATGTGTGTTACAGAATTGTATCATTTGGTTGAGCACATCTGGTTATGGATGGTTGTCTGAATGCGCATGTCCGATTATCAGCTCCATGGCACCAACAGCAAGTACTACCGCATCTACCTGCCCAGTTATCAATACATTAGTGTTTCACCTTCACTAACTGTGGACGTTCAGCTATTTTCACCATCCTTCTTAGCTGTATTTTATTTCATGTTATCATCCATAGTTTAGTTGGCGCGTCGTGCGCATTGGTGTAGAACTGTATCAAGTATTCGAGCGCGATAGCGCCCTTGTGAAGGTGTCGCATTTTTGCACGGGCCGAGTTGTTCATTTTTCTTTGTCGCGCGCCCCTACTGTGCTGCCGATGGCGACGTTTCTTTTTTGACTATACTCGGTTAGGTGTTCTCCGTTGTGGACTCCAGCGCTATCACGTAACCACCATCCGAACGTCCAAGCCACTGTTTCGGGGGGGAGTGTCGCGGCTCGCGATGCAAGCCACTCCTCGTAACAGGAGGCCGGGAGCGCTGGCTATCGCGTTACTTGGCGCGCTTTCAAGATCGCGCCAAGACCTCTCCTGCTGGGCGCGTTGCCAAGTCACAGGGTATATAAGGGCGCGCAGGCCGCGGTCTACGCCTCTTCGATTTCCGTTCGTATTGATCGTTTTATGATATTGTTCGTGCTGGCAGCGCCTCCAACAGCTCCCGCAGATGATCATCGGTTTCGAGCGGTTGAGCCTTTGTTATCTTCTTGGTTTTGGAGACGCGCAGCTAAATGTTATGGCTCGTCTTGCGCAGGAAGTGTACTCGCGGGAGTGGAGAGGGGTCACACCGTCCCGGAAGGGCTAGGGGCTTGCGGTTGACCCAATGGAGAGCCCGGAACTACTTGTTGAAGTTCATCACCATCAGCATTGGCAGCACGGGACGAGGCGGCTCGCCCCGTGCCTAGTTTTTTCATGCATTTGAAGTAGTAGTTTAGCAGTTTTCAATAATTTCAGTAGTTTTTGTAGTATAGTAGTTTATTTTTGTGTTTTATAGATAAATGTAGTCTAAATTAGCCGGTCCTTTTCTCCCTTAGCGTTACGCGCTATTTTACCGTGCCGTTTATTCTTGTAGAGGGTAGTCCTCGGCAGCGCCCGTCAAGGCGTCATGAACCTTGGTGGACGCGCGACATCGTAGGGGACAAACGGGAGTTAGGTGTAGCTGCGGCGAGCACTTGCGGAAGGTGCTGATCACACCGAGCCGCCACAGGAATGAATTTGAGATGGCCTATTAACTTTGAAGGTTTGAAAAAAGACACAAAGATCTACGAAAGCTAAAGCATTAATAGAAATGCTCTTTCATATGCTTTGATAAGTTTGTGAGATAGTTGATTCCGCTTTGAGAAACAGATTTTGACAGAAGAGGTATGAAGAACTTGCATCAAGTATGCAACCTAATATTTGCGCGGAGCGAAGAAATGCTAAGGCAATTCGGGACTTTGGCGCACTATTTTCCTGTCAATTTTTAGACCCTTCAAAATCGGGTAAGTTTAATAAGGATGTTCAATTTGGAATTGTATGCTTGAACAACTGGGAACAGGGTTTTCTTTTAAACTGAGATACGATTTTTTTTAGATTTCTGATTTTTTGAGCATTTGGAGCTTTTCAAATTTCGGCTTCAAACTTTATGAGAGGTCAATCTTTTGATAGCCATCTTGTAAAGGTTGCTCTTTATAGCAATGGTTATATGATTTACAACGCTTAGAGGCCAGAGTTATAAGAGTTATTGGACAACCCAACTCAATGTTTAATGCGACTTTTCCTTACCCTTATTTTTTCGTTGGTAGTTTTGACATTAATTTTTTGTAATATGGGCAAATATTAGTAAGCACAAGTATTCGAATCTTGTTCAATCGACTAATTTTTAGTTCACAAAAGACTTAGAAATAAATTATTTCTAGATGATAAAAACAAAAGAGACTTATGCTTTCGATTAGAACCTTTGATAGAATGCTAGTACGCAAATGCTATGATAATTTTAGTACGAAAGGTGTTTTAGATTCCGTTCCATATTTTATTATGTAAATTTTACAGCTAAAAGAATATTGTTTGTTCTAGCAAAAAAAGATTTTCATATAGAAAAAGGAGTGGTTCAGGTTTGTTTATTAGATTTCAACAACGAACCCGCAATACTTACGAATTTTCACCAGCAACTGAATTTTTAGATGAAGAACACATGCGCATGTACATGACATAGAGCGAACGATATTTTCTAATAATCGTCAAAGGCCTTGATGACATTGTACATTTATTAGATGTAAACGAAAAAGCAAAAGTCGAAAAACGCAAAGATTCAATGAATCTCATAGATGTCCTAGTTCTGCATAAGGACTTTGAAGACATGCTCATGCCAATTTTGAATTTTATGTAAAGCGCCGACAACTTGGCATTTATGCAAAAATGCCTGCGTCTCATTCACTATGCTCCTACTTTTCAGAATCTTCATCGGATGAGCCACATCGACTACAGTAGACGACTCAAAAGGCTCGGCATAAGTTGCACGGAGCAAGATTGGATATTGTCGCGGCTCCGCGATGCGAGCGCTCCTAGAAGTAGGAGGCCGGGAGCACTGGTTGCTGCCGCGCTACGCGGCGACGATAACGGCACTTTCTTACGTTCGCCGCAATCGCCGCTGGACCTCTCCTCGCCTTGGCGCGTTGCCAGCCAAAAGGCTATATATAGCGGCGGCGCCTCATTGCAGCGTCTGTTCGCTTTCCTTTTCGATCGATAATCTTTTCGTATGTTTTCCATTGTGCTCGTGCTGGCAATTAGCTCCCGCCTTTGATGTTTCTTTCGCGTTAGCGGTCGAGCAGATAGAGAGTTATATTGGATCGAAGTGTGATTTGGAATTCTTTTAGACGAGCTACTTTTGGAACTTTGGGATTTGAGATCTTATAAACTTCGGGAGCGGAGAGGTGTCGCGCCTGGTATCCGGCGACGCGTGGCGGATCTGTATTGGTGAAGCCTCGGGAGCATATTTCTTGTTTGTGTTTATAGTCGTGCGCATCGGTAGCACGGGATGGGGCAGCTCGTCCCGTGTTGAGCTTCTTATCGTTCAGTAGTTTAGTATCGTAGCGTAGTGTTTGTTTGTTTCTTTTTGGGTCATAAGGATAAAATGTTAGTAATTCACTATTGTTTCTTCACGCGCTATGGCAAGTAGTAGGGTAGGTTGCGTGTATGTAGTAAGCGGGCGAGCGTGCGAGTGTCTCGGGTGAATCTAGGTGCTTAGGGCCCACCGAGCCGCCACATGGTGCATCGTCGCCGAGCGCATGGTGGATGCGGTTTCCGTCCGCGTGTAGTGTTGGGTAGCCGCGTTGCTAAGCCGCGTTGGGTAGGTAACATCTCAGTAGGTTTTCGCGCAGTGTAGCGCAGTTCTAGCTTCCCATCCTCCATGCGTGCGTAACGATCCCGTAGTCTACCACGCCCCGCACCTAGTTTAAGTCCAGGCAAGCAGTGGATAGGGCATGCGTTCAGTCGCGTCATTCAGGTGTCAGGTAACCCATTAGTTCTGCAGCCTTAAGCGTAGCCAGCGCGTGGGGTGACCTAGTAGTAAGTCGGTGGCAGCACTTACAGCTATAAGCCCCTGGATCCAGCGTGTTGTCTTGCGCAAGGATGGGTATAACAGTGGACCAAGTCTATCTGCGAGTGCGAGGTGGAGTCGTTGTGGCGGACCTTACGCTACTGGAGCACACGCCACTGGGGCATCACCGCTGGGAGAGGTAACTGTTGCAACGTTCGCCATGTCGTTCTTTCAGGTAGCCCTGACGAAGCTGTTTGCATTGATTTTGTGTTATTCGCGCATTTGCTACGGCTTGCGATTCTGCCCTCGTTTGACAACCCTATTTTACTCCTTACCTTTGCGCCTACTACGTATCCCTAGCGTGTTAGTTAGTAGTATGTCCCTCTTTAGGGTTTTTAGGTTAGGTTCTTGCTCGTATATGTATTTACTCGTTTCATGTACTCGTTGTGTGCACGTATACTACTGTCGCTCCTGCCTCTTACATTACAGATATGTCGCTCCTTGGATTCCATAAGTCCCAGCTCACCAGATTAGCTAACGTGCTACGCAAGAAGATCGCGGAAGCCGAACAGACCAACTTGGAAAGCAACGTCGCCCTTACCTTCAACACAGGCAAGGATTACGAGTTTGTCATCAATCGTAGACGTTTGCTTTCGAATTTTCTTTCTTCCATCAAGTGTGCTGCTTCCTATCTACGCACTCAGCGGGATGAAGCTGAGGAGTTTGCTCGTCAGAAGCCGGACGAGCAGGGGGAGTTTCCCCTCCTCTTGGAGATCCACGCGCACTGGGACGCCAGTGAATTGACAGGTCTCTTGGAGAAGGCGGACATTCTACTTGAGCGTTTGGATAATGAGATCAAACTCCTTTCGAATGCGGATGTGCTTTATGAGTGTTGCCTTTCGTCGATCTCTCCCATTCAAACTGTCCCTAACCCCGCACGTCCCCTTCTTCTTCTGATACTGCTCAACCCTTAGTACCCCCTCAACTCGCGCAGGTTTTTCCCTTTCAGGATCGTCCATCAGACCCTTCTTCAGTCGCGCCAGTTGACCATGACCCTCTCGCGAGTGACGCAGGGAACCCTCCGCAGGGAGACCAGTGTCCGCGAGTCCCTCCTGGATTTGGCAATCCCCAGTCGACCCGTCCTCCTGCTCCGACGAGCATGCGTCCTTTTGGACTCCAAACCCCTTCGCCAAATCCATTTTCGAATCCCCCACTTGCAGCGACGAGCGTTCCATCTTCGTCTACCTCGTATAGCTTGCCCTCATTCGAGATACCATTCTTTTCTGGCGATATCGACGCGTTTCCTGAGTTTTAAAACATCTTTGCTGCTTCTGTGCATAACAACAACAGCGTACCGGTAGCTGTCAAGTTCATGTACCTGAAGACGCACTTAAGAGGAGACGCAGCGAACATCATCGCGAATTTCCAGCCCACTGAAGAGAATTATGAAGATGCAGTACGTACGATCCAAAGCACCTACAATCGACCGGAACATCTGCGAATGCGTCTCTGGGACAAGCTCAACAAGCAAGCGCCCGCAAAGGAGTCTGCGGCTTCACAGCGCGCTACGCTTGGCTCCATCAGAGCTATTTGGTCCCAGATGAAGCGCTTGAAGGAAGAATCGTCGATAGGTGCAAGAAAGAATGGTCGATAGGTGCACTGAACACGATTCGATCGAAGTTCCCCCGACGTACACATGAGAAGGTTGGCGAGATGAAGAATAAGGAAGACCAGATGTGGACGGTAGACGAGCTACTGACAGCATTTGATACGGTTATCGACAGGCTGCAGTTAGTCGAAGACGCCGATCCCACACCTTATGCCATTTACAACGCCGATTCTACAGTCCGTCAAGCTTCTTCTTCCCCGCATAGGTACACCAGCGATAGTCCGACGCGAAGTAGGTCGCAGTATCAGTCATCACTCTTCCCCAGATGTTCGCGCAGCTTTCGCTTACCATCTCAGTACCTTTCGACTAGAACCAGGACACCATCCCCGTACTACCCGCAACGTGCGTCTCGCACTCCAGCACAATCGCAGTATGTTGCAGACCAGGATGATTGTTGTGTCTTCTGTTTAGTTGAAGGACACCAACCGCAGGATTGCTTGGAAGTACCCGGTCCTAGGCAGCGAAGAGCCATCGTTGGCCAAGAGCAACTCTGTTGGTTATGCTTAGGTTACGGACATCTTGCGAAGTTTTGCTCTGCACCCATGTGCCTATACTGCGGTAAAGCTCACCATCTAGCATTGTGCTTAAATCCACCACGAGCGCATAGTTCGTTTCTTCCACCGACACGTTTCCATCGTCGACTTCCTTCGCCTAAGCGCGTGCAGTTTGCGGAAACTCAGACTTCTCCAGACCACGCACAACACAGATCGCACTCTTCTTGACTACCTGCTAGGAACCTCCCATTTTTTTTCTATATTTTTTACAGTTTCTTTTACTTTTCTGTTATTTTTGCTTTTTCTGCTCTTCTGCATTCCTAGGTTCCCACGCACGGCGCTTCCCATCTGTCTGTGTGCAACGTCGCACGAGAATGCTGGTTCCGTATCATCTAAACTGACAACTGACTAGAAGCGATCGTGACGCGCCTTTAGAGGACAGTATAGGTAAGATTAAGTAAAAGTTCTGATTTCTTCCATCTATTTTTTTGTAACTTTTACTTTTCCTTTTGCATTTGTCCCTCTGTGTTGCAGATCACGCAGCTCATTTGATTTGCCGCGCTTAACCTGGCTTTTGACCGTAGCTGCACCTTTTGAATATTGTAGCCAGCCTTTGTGGCACGCCTTTCATTCGTTTTTTCTAAACGCAGGAACATCGCTAGCGCGTCGCGCACATATCCTAAGACTACCCATGTGGTCGCGGGAGGCTGGACTACGTCCATTTTTGCGTTTTTTTTTGTGTAGAATTATTGTTTTTGCCATAGTAACATCGGCGTAAAAAGGTTGCAGCATGCTAAGCCCCATACCATCGGGGAGGAAAACTATCCCTTGCGCTCTTGAGTGTGCCATCGCGTTCGCGCGCGCCTTAATTTTCATTTAGAGTTGCAGGTGATAGAATGTGAAAGGGTCAGTAGCTGTGATTGCAGAATATCGCTATGATGGACACTGAACGGCAAGCATTGTTCCTTCTATCTTGTTTTGGCCTCGTAAAGTTTATGTGTTACAGTACTACTGCAATGTGGTAGCACGTTTGGCCCGTTGAATCAACTCTGTTTGACGTCTACTTCAACTACGTTGGTCCTCGTCAGTTACGAGTAGTGTGCAGCCTACTACCCAGACACAGTCCGATAATGATTACTTGATTTACTTGATTTTGCGAATTTTTTGTGTTGTTTGTTGGATGCGCTTCGTGCGCTCTTGAAGTATGCTTGTTGATGGGCACGGGACGGGTTATCTTCAATCCAGTTACTTTCGACGAGCTCTTACTGTGCTACCGATGGATAACCTTTATTTCTTTTTCGCTTTGTCATCCAAAATTTTCGGCTAAAGGCATTAACCGCAGATCCCCGGTGCTATCACGTAACCACCTCTCGAACGCCCAAGCCCACTGCTTCTGGGGGGAGTGTCGCGGCTCCGCGATGCGAGCGCTCCTAGAAGTAGGAGGCCGGGAGCACTGGTTGCTGCCGCGCTACACGGCGACGATAACGGCACTTTCTTACTTTCGCCGCAATCGCCGCTGGACCTCTCCTCGCCTTGGCGCGTTGCCAGCCAAAAGGCTGTATATAGCGGCGGCGCCTCATTGCAGCGTCTGTTCGCTTTCCTTTTCGATCGATAATCTTTTCGTATGTTTTCCATTGTGCTCGTGCTGGCAATTAGCTCCCGCCTTTGATGTTTCTTTCGCGTTAGCGGTCGAGCAGATAGAGAGTTATATTGGATCGAAGTGTGATTTGGAATTCTTTTAGACGAGCTACTTTTGGAACTTTGGGATTTGAGATCTTATAAACTTCGGGAGCGGAGAGGTGTCGCGCCTGGTATCCGGCGACGCGTGGCGGATCTGTATTGGTGAAGCCTCGGGAGCATATTTCTTGTTTGTGTTTATAGTCGTGCGCATCGGTAGCACGGGATGGGGCAGCTCGTCCCGTGTTGAGCTTCTTATCGTTTAGTAGTTTAGTATCGTAGCGTAGTGTTTGTTTGTTTCTTTTTGGGTCATAAGGATAAAATGTTAGTAATTCACTATTGTTTCTTCACGCGCTATGGCAAGTAGTAGGGTAGGTTGCGTCGTATGTAGTAAGCGGGCGAGCGTGCGGGTGTCTCGGGTGAATCTAGGTGCTTAGGGCCCACCGAGCCGCCACAGATATCGTTTCGAGGTAAAAAGCGAGGGGTATATCGTTGTCAGTGTTAGAAGGTTTTCCAACCACCTGGGCAGCCACCTGAGGTGGCTAGGGAAAGAAAAAGTCATAAATTTTTCTTTCTTAATATAATTTTCCATACATTTACATAAATTGGTTCTAATCCAAAACCCCATAAAATAATTTTTGAACTTTTCCAATTTGCCTCCTCTCCGCATAGTTACAGCCCTTCAAAATTTGAATGACGCCGGCAATCCTGCTCCAAGCGCGCGTTGGTGCGCGCCGGACACAGCATACTGCCAATATGGATATTACAAGGTAAAGCATGAGCAGATGAGCAGCAGCTTTAGAAAATGTCGTTTCTTTGCAATGAAGTTTCCGAAATTGTTTACAAACCAGAAGAACTATAAAGTAGAGCATAATAGTGTTGCACTGGTGAGGAATACATTTTGTCGAGGAATTTTTTGTTCCAATCAAGAAGTCTATATTAGAATCATCGGCAAAACAGAAGAAGAAGACTCTAGAAGGAAAATGTGGACTGTAAGTGAAAACTCAAACGCCATGACACGAACTTTTCACATTGGGAGGAAATGTGCTTTTGAAAACTTCAGGATAGTCAAAAGTTTGGGCACTTAATAGAAGAATTAGGGAGCTAGAAAAGAATGAAAAAAATTGATTTAAAAGCCCAAAATCGAGAGATGTAAGCTTAAGAAGGGCTAAATGAAATTGGATTTTGGAAAAATTGCCAAAAGGAGTCAGAAAAACGCGGAGTAAAAACTATGTAAGAACAGAGAGCCATGGGTGATTGAAGATATTAGGTTGGCCCATAAGTAACGCAACTTTCTACATAACTTTTGTTTTTTTGGACGTAGCATACATTTCCTGGCAATATTGGCTTATGATTCAAACAGCGAATGCAGACATTTTTTGCCAAACTCTGTCGTTTTGTGTAAGGGTTGCGGTAAGTTTACGATACAATGGGAAGAACTTTAGATTGCGTCAGATTTTGCTGAAACTTGGTTTTTGGGGGCTATTCAACGGGCTGATCACAAAAATGAGACCACCCGTTTTGCATGAAAAAGCCTCTTTCGAAAGGTCAAAAAATGAATTTCATTTCAATGACAAGTGAATATGATTTTCGTGTTCACCGTTGCAAATATAGCGAATTCTGAGGTTTTGCAGTTTTGTTATTGACCGATTCCCTCCAAATCTGACGCATTTGATTTGTTCTACTTCTCAAAAGCGCCTTATCTTGATTTATTTCTGGATTTCACTTTCTTTTAACTGATTCTAATGCGTCAACTTTTAGCTACATGCTGCCTATAATTCCTTTGTAATATGTATGAATCATCTTTTGTACGGCTTTATGTTTGCCAAAAACCGTGAAATTTCGATTTTTAGCAGTTTTTGCAAAATGCTCAAATTTTTTTTACTACTTTATCAATAATCAAACGGTTGGCGCAGGCTTGCAGCTTACGTCATATTATACATGATGAAGAGAAGTAATTTTAGTCTACCTTGAATGAGAAGAAAGTTATGGTAAAAGTTGCAAAACTTATGTGTCAACTCAATATAAAGAAGAAGCAAAGATCAAAGCATCTTGTTGCAAAAATTCTACCAAATCTGCTCTATGCTCCACTTTTGCCATGAGGAAGGTTTCAAAATAGATACATTGAGTTTCTGTAATTTCCAAGTTCAGTTACCTCGTAATTTTTGCTAATTTCAATATACACTGATTTCGTAGCGTGAGCTTACTTAGAATTTCCAAATTACTTTTCCGCCTGATGAATGCAATTCTCAAGAAAAAAATTTACAGCAGAGTTTGCTTCTTTGAGTAATGTGAGCGAAATCTGTTTCCAGACTTATAATGACTCTTTTAGAGGTTTGGATGATCGAACTCGAGCTTCATTACGTGTGCAATCGACATGCCGAGCGACACTTGCCGAAGAGGTGGGGCAACATGCTGTGGACGAGTTGATAGTATTAAAAACCAAAGTGGTAAGAATTTCATCAAAAATTGTTCAGTTAGTATGTGAACTGTTCTCGAGGTTGGTAGGACGAAATCTCTCAAAAGAAGCTCACGGCCCTGAAACTTCATTTTTTTCAAACTGGCGTATATCAATTTCTCTTCATATGAAAAGTATTCCACTCAAGCAGAATTTACATTCCAATTCTTGCTCTTTCCTAAAATGTCAAACACTAAACAAAGAATATCTGCAGCATTTGTAGGAACCATAGATCAAAATTAGTTATTAGCCAACCTAGTAGTAAGTATCTTAAACGTAATGGGCAATGGGAATTGGGAATTGATATCCAAACCTGCGAGAATACTCCCGCCCTCTTGCTGATAATCTACGCGTACTTGATGTTCTCATCCCGTTATCAAGGAAGCTAAATTACTTATCTTCATACGACAACATTTTGCGCAAGCTACATGCAAATTATATGGTATGCTGGAAGTTGTACCGCTGCTACGTTAGTACGTTTCGGGCCGCGAGATTGCGCGCGGCGAAAAAGAGTGTACTTTCAGCTGTTAGCCAACAAAGGGACCTTATTTCGTAGACTGTGGGCTAAGTTCGAAGTGTTTGGATGTTACTTGAAGAGGAAATCTATGCTTCCCTGAAAGACAGGAACAAGATCTCAATCTCTAATAGTATCCGAAAGTATCTATGTTGTACACGCTACACATCACTATTGAAACTACGGTTTTTTTCTTTGAAACCAAAGCAAAGAAAGAAAGTTGCGACGTCGCACGCGTCGTTCGCGTTGCCGCACTTCGTTGCGACTGTTGTTCATTTGTCCTCAAATCTCCTAAGCAAATATCGGCTTCTACGGTGTCATTTGAGAAGTGGGAGCTTAAGCCCTTGATTTGATAATCTTGGACCAGAGCAAAACCTCCTGAACATCAAAAAGATCCATAGAAGCAACGTGCTGCACCGTGTAGAGCACCGGTCTGAAACGTGCTAAAGATCTGGTAAGAATACCACCATACTCAATGCTAGTTGTTTTAGGCCCCATCATCGGATTTCATTGAAAAGCTCAATTCCTTGTTTGGCTTGGTGAAGAAAACTGATGTTGCAGTAATTCAACCATTATGCGCAGCCGCCTATGAGGTTTATCGCACTAACCTAGAGACAATGTCCAGTATAATTTAGACCGAATCGAATGAATATTCGAGTATTCAAATAAAGGTATTCGGATAAATTTCATTCGAAATTCGATTATTCGAAAATTTCAAATTCTCGAATATATTCGATATTCGCTTATTCGAAATTTGTCAATTTCGGATTTATTCGATTAGTCGGTTATTTGAAAATTTTGATTTTCGAAAATATTCGGACAATCGAATATTTATTTTCAGATTCGATTATTTGACAATTTCGTGTAATCGAATAACTACATAAAAACGTCACAATTTTGATTGCTACAGTGACCACCAAAAAGTTGCGGACAAGTCGCCCCCTTTTTTTCATCGCTCATTTTCAGATGGAAAGCAACCATGAAAAAATGATTGGATTGCATTTGTGACAGAGCTCATCAAGAGCTATAACACACACATTGCACTTTCTGGAAAACATGCATTACAGACAATGTCGCGGACAATGATTCTTCGAACGCGAAAATTTTCTTTTAAGTCTTTTTATAGCAAAAACAGAAGTTTTCCAGACACTTAAACATACTGTATTGTAGAGCTCATCAAGGACAATAACATGTGGTGGTTACATCCAAAAAACACAAGCTTGAGTTTTATTTTGCTTTTTTCAAATTATAACTCCTAGTTACCATTTTCAAGCCAAATTTCTACAGTGGTAACCTCTTCAAGACATTTCAACAAGGCTATTCGGATCAATCGGATGCTCTTTGCCATACTCTATGCATCGGACGTGTGCGGATGAGTTTATTGGCTAAAAATGGCTCTTGACAGTGCGTGCACATGATCCCACCTGCACCTCACCACTGACTCGCACCGCTTCACAGGCTTATGGCTCGGCCGTCAATCAATCTACGAGCATGGGCATAGACTCATTCGAAAGAGCGTAATTTCCCCGACATGAAAATATGCAAAGGAATTGAGTTTGGGAAATCGCGGAGGTTCTGCGGATGGGGTGGTAAAGCGCAACCATAGAGTTTTTTGGAATGGAGGCTCGCATCAACACTAGAACGGTCTTAAAGCTCCGATATGGATACAGGAAAATTGATAGCTTTAAATTTCCAGATTAAAACTGTGACGAAAGGAGCTTTGCTCAACTTTACCTGATAAATGCTTAGCCTACCACAGAAGCTGCGCTTTGTCACCTCATCCGCAGAATCTCCGCGGCTTCCCAAACTTAACACATTTGCATACCATCGTGTCGAGGAAGTCACGATCTTTCGAATGAGCCTATGCATAGGCTCGTAGATTTTTGCGGCCGAGTTATAACCCTGTGAAGCGGTGCAAGTCAGTGGTGAGGTGCAGGTGAGATCATGTGCACGCACTGTCAGGAGCCGTTTTCAGCAAAGAAACTCACCAGCACACGTCCGATGCACAGAGGATGGCAAAGAGCATTCGTTTCATCCGAATAGTTTTGTTGGAATGTCTCGTATAGGTTCCCATGTGAAGATATTTGGCTTGAAAAAGGGATTTAAAAGTTATTTTTTCGAAAAAAGGGTAATAAAATTCAAGCTTGGGTTTTTTGGAAGTAACCACTATCCGGTTACTGTCCTCAATGAACTCTACAACATAGTATGCTTACCTGTCCAGGAACTTCTGTTTATTTTCCAAGAAAAGACCTAAAAGAAAATTTTCGCGTTCGAAGAATTATAGTCTGCGAGATTGTGACGCGGCCAATTTCGAACTTTTTTTAGGAAAAGATTTTTGGAATTTCTGTAATACATGTTTTCCGGAAAGTGCAATGTATGGGTTTTAGCTCTTGATGAGCTCTGTCACCACATGCAATCCAACCGTTTCTCATCTTTGTTTTCCATTTGGAAATGAGCGCTGAAAATAGGAGGGCGACTTGCCCGCAACTTTTTGGCGGCCACTGTATATCAGCAACCATCGTTTGTTGTCCAATTGCCCACTGCATGGAGTCCTTCATGGCGCTAATTCGATCAAAATTTGTTTGAATATTCGACATAATCGATGCAAAATATTCGTTTATTCGGATTTTTTTCTCAAATATATTCGAGTATTCGGATTTTTTCATTTCGAATATATTCGATATTCGATTACTCGACATTTTTGTTCGAAAATATTCGATATTTGAATATTCGACATTTTTGTTTCTGAAAATATTCTTCGATTATTCGGTATTTCTGATTTTCGAATATATTCGGTTATTCGATTATTCGAAAAAATTCTCGAATATTCCAAAGTATAATGTCCAGGGGACTCTGAGCGCATGCATTTTTTCGCGTGGAAACGGGTCAGGGGTCCTAGCTAAGACAATGCCCAAGTTGCAGCGCGCTGAGACCCGCTCTTTATCACTCGCGAGTGAGAAAGGACGGGTCTCGGCGCAAACGTGGTCCTAAACAGAGTCATTTGCGACGGTCACGGCGCTTGAGAGCTTTGGAGAAGGGTTTCTTAGCCGTGAATGGATGATGTGCGCTGCCACTTGGACAGTGCCTTAGTTTGGTCCCACTCATTTTCCACGCGAAAAACCTACTGTCAAATTTGCCTGGACACTGCCTTCAATGTAAATGAAAAAATTAGTAAAGATTTAGGATTCCCACGTTCCAACAGCAAATGATCCTCCAAGGTTGAGGAGAAATGGTCAAGTCGTTGCAGCAGCATAATACGTATAGATTGCTATTTGTATTGAAATATTTTTGATTTTGCTGAATAAATATAATATTGGGTAAAAAACTTGAATTGATTTACTCTACTACATCAATTTTACCCATTTCATGTGAAGACTCCATTTCATCATTCAGTTTGCTGGCAATGAACGGTTCCGAATTCTTTCCGTCCAAGTTGATCGTATATGCAACAGAAGAGAACGTGTGAGAGAAAGTGATCAAATAAGGGAAAGTGCTAAAATGCATGGCATTTAAAGTGCTAAAGTTCAGATCGATGAAGGTGTTATCTTTGACGAGAATGAATGCAGCAGAAAAGGTTAAAAAAGAAAGAGAAAAGCGTAATACGTAATTAGATAGTACGTAGTTGCATGATACGTAATTCAGAATACGCATATTGGGTACAACTGACGTTCTTAATTCGCTTCCATTCGAAGCTGAGAAATAACCTGGAAAATTGCTTTCCTCTTATTACTGAAAAAGTAATTCTGCACTTTAACAAGGGAGTGATCAGAAATCAAAGTGGCCAATCCAAAAAGTTGCACAGCATTACATGCAGCATAAAACGCATAAAACGCTACTTCCAATCTGTATCCCGTATCTGCTTAAAGCGTGTGTGGGCGAAGTGAGCCGTCAAAGGCCATTATTTTGCCAGGAAATCGTGCATCCAAGCGCAAATTTGGCAATACAGAGCCATGTTTGGCTTGAGAATGGGCCTGAACATGCAGCTAGGTTATTTTATATTATTAAAGCCTAAAGGTGAGCTGAAAGTGTAAAATTGTGCTCAATTTCATAGAAGTTGTAAACGTCGCAATAAAAGTGCTCATAACTTCTTCCACAAAAGCGACAGGCAGGTACGGAATACAGATTCGAAATCAGCGCTGAATGTCGCATTGAACGGCATGAAGCTTGCTTGGATTGGCCACCTCGACTTCTGACCATTCTCTTGTAAGGAAGCCTTATACCATTAAGAGATTTAAAGTGCATTTCATTATGATACAAAATTTGCTTTGGAAGACCAAAGGTAAAAAAGGGTGTTGGCTGAAAAACACCTTTGTGGGACGGGCAGAAGGTTCCGCAGTGGAAATTACTGCTCAAAAACAAGGTTAGTCCTGCCATAGATAACCAATTGCATTTGTCAAACAATTCTCCTTACTCAGGAAATTCCTAATAAACAGTCCCATGAGTCTTACTAAATTACAAATCACGACCCCATACGGCAAACTTGGTTAAAACTGTGCTAAAAGAATTGACTGGAAGGTACATCATTTTCAGTGTGCACCTCATACTTTGCTCCACCAGATCAGTATTTGTCTTTCTCTCTAACATGTTATGTAAAGAAATGTTTTGATTTAAACACGAACCAGGCGCTGGTTAGGCGACTTTTTTGAGGCTGTATCCGTTAATTTAAAAAAACTTTGAAGAATTGACAATAAGGTGACAGAAGGCTGTCTGCAACAAGATACGTGCATCATCGACTGAGTTTGGTGAAATTTTGTCATGTCGTTCTTTCATGCACACTCTACAAACTTATTAGGTGGGTCCGAAAGTTTTATTAGTTTTTTCAAACCATCGGCAAACACGCTAAATGAAGATAAACAAAAGGTCTAAAATGTATCCAATGCAGAACTTCTTCCCTTTTCCAGCTTCTAAACTCCCATTGTGTTAGTTGCGAGAGTGACGAGATATTTGCTGGAAATTACAACCACTCTTACCATGTCCAATTCTCGCTAATTTTCAAAATTTTTGTATGAGACTTCCGAAGGAGTCCTAAGCAAGCAGATAGGGCAAACCTTTTGCCAACAGAAGCAAATTTTTATAGCTTTACGGCTTGTCTTTCAGAATTTCTACGATTTATTTTTAAATAGGACCAAATTTTACATTCAGCCTATTTCAATCTCGTAGAACATGAAATGTTAAACACTTCAGTCAACATTCGATGCAACTTTTTCTCCTCGTTCTAACGCTTGTCTTTTTTTGGCCGAGACAGGCGAAATTTGTGGGGGGGGGGGGGGGAATCGCAGTATTTCTCAATTTCAGGAGTGCGCATTGACGTAGCCTATGTTTTAAAATCTTCATAATTTGAAGCCAAAATTGCTTATTTACTTTGTAATGGTAACGGTAGTAATAAATGTGTGTCGAAGCCTCAGTTTTTTGTAGGTTTTGCAGTGTTTGGTGCAATAACAGATTATGCGATTTTTCCAAAACACAAGACTTTTAGAAAATTATTTAGCAAAAATCTGAAAAAGCAGCTGAAAAAAAAATTGCCTATCTGCTGGATATTAGGGCTCTTCTGAAAGTCTCATACAAAAATTTTGAAAAATAGCGAATGTTGGACATGGTAAAAACGAGTGGTTTAATTTCCAACAAATATCTCGTCACTCTCGCAACGAAACACAGTGGGAGTTCAGCAGCCGGAAAGTGGAAGAAATTCTACATTGGCTGCATTCTAAAACGTTTGTTTATCTACATTCTAGCGTGTTTGCCGATGGATTGAAACAACTGACAAAACTTTCGGACCCACCTAATATAAAACAACCTCATCCACGAAAATTGATAGAGAAGTGAAAATATCAATGTGTGCGTGTGTGTTTGTGTGTGTGTGTGTGGGGGGGGGGAGGGTGTATCAGCTATTTTATGTTCGTCATCTGATGACTAAATTACCTCAAGACAATAAAGTTACTCTGCTTTTGCAGTGATTTACAGCTTCTTCAGCTGTTTTTTAGTATTATTGTTTAGGCCGGTTTCACCAATTTGACCATCCTCATTATTAGGTGGCTGCACATAATAGTTTTTTGAAGGCAGTGTTCAGGTAGACATTCATTTTCCAACTTTTCGCTTATTTGGACCTACCGCTACGCTGGATTTGAAGATAATTTCGGAGAAAAAAGCGAGAATGTTTTCCTAAAGCCCACTGTTCCGAATGTACGATAACCATTTTCCGAAAAGGTTAATAAAAGAATATCAGGACAAGTCGGCGATTAACGAAAATGTATATTACTAGACGTGTCTTTGAATGCTGATTGCAAACTACATTTTTTCGCGAGACAACTTTCAGAAAGATTTGAGCTCTTGTAGGTCTGATTTGTCAAGCCCTAAGTGACATAAAATCAGCCAAAAGCTGTACGAATCACCTGAAAGTGGGTAATAATTTTTGTGTCAACTATTATGACCACAAGGGAAACGCAGCCATTATAAGTCTGCATAGGTGTTTTTGTGAAGCTTTTTGCTAGTTTTAAACCACTTCTTCTGTCACTAACGTCCCATCCGAACGGTCGGCTTATTTTGCTGCTCTGATCTAACCAACATCGAGGATAGTTGAGAAGAAGTTCGGTGGAAGAAACCGTGGCTGGTCCACCGAAGGATGCCAAGACGAGATACCAAAGAACGCAGGACCCAACGACGACAAGAATACGCGTATGTTTTTACAATGCTCGTTCTCTCAATAGTGAGGAAAGATTAGTTGCGCTAGAGGAGGAGCTAAGTATGACAAAATTTGACATTGTCGGACTATGCGAAACTCGTCGCAGTGGCGCTTCTTATACGAAACGAAGCTTCTCGAAGTTACATTTTTATAATAGTGGACGAACAAATGGAGTAGCCACTAAAAGGGGAGTCGGCATACTAATGAATGAGCGCATTCATCGTTATTGCATAGGCGTAACCAGGGCCCGGCACGCGTTGGTTTGGAGGTTTTTAGGAAACGAAGTCCCCCATGACTTCGCGAAAATTTACGAAGTCCCTCTCGACGTGAAAATCAGTAGGGAAACCCTAATTCAACATAGCAACAAAAAAGCGAAAAAAGCGCATTTTGAGGTATGTAATATAACAAAAAAGCAAAAAGAAAACATTTCGAGTTGATTAAAGGCTCTGCCATTGGGTATAGTACCATTTTGATGCTGGGAATGTCGAAAATCTCCTGGGCCAACCAAATCTGTAGCCTCAACAATCCTGCGATGCATTTTTCGCCACATATTCCAAAGGACACCGCAAGTGATTGGAGCGCGATGTCTATCAACGCGTAGAATTATAGTACTTTTGACTCAAAAAAAGGGGAGAGGCAACGGTTTGATTCGCTTTTTTAACTATATGATAGATTTTTGACCGTTCTAATCGTCCAAATCAAAAAGGTCTAAAACTTATGTGAACTCTCCGATATTTATGCTCCGAACCAACCCAGTTGGTTTGATAGTTGGTCTAAAAACCAACAAATTCGAGAACGGATATTAGGACGCGTAAGTTTTGGGAACTTTTTACATAACATAGTTTGGCCCCCACAATGGTCGGTCGCCTCATCGTGGCGTGGGGGTGACACTGGGTGTCGAACTGCGATGCACAGCCGAGTGTATACTCTAGTAGGGCCTCCCAAGCTGTGAAGGAGTTCGACGTTTCCGGTTTCGGCCGGATGCCTAGCTAAGAACCGGCCACGCCAAGACCCCCGCCGTCTGGCTTCTTCTGGTCGCTAGGCGGTCCCTCCCCGCTCCAAGCCCGGGGTCAGGATCGTTCCGTGGAAATCAAGAGTAGGCCTAGAAAGCCACCTCTTGTAGGGGAAAATTCATATTACTCCTCCAGTCAGAAGATTAGAAAGAAGCCCTGCACATCGTATCCCGCCTACGGCGCCGGGTGGTAGCAAGAACGATGTCAAGGTACTCAGGGCGCCTTTCGGATTGGACAAAAACGACACGTCTGCCCGGACGACACGCCACGGAGACTGCCTCATGCTCTGCACCTATAACGCCAGGACAGTCTCCACAAACGCCGACCTCTACGCTCTTCTCGACGCTGCAGAGCACATCAAGTACCACATTATCGCTCTGCAGAAAACGAAGTCCAGGAAGGAGGACGTGCGACAGATGAGTGATGGGACCCTCATCATTTGTGGTAAAAAGGTTCATCACGAATCTTTGGAGGCGTTGGTTTTGTCGTCCATCCATCTATCGTCCATCTTGTCGATTCGCATAAGATCCTATCCTATCACCTCGACTGGGCATCCTACGACT